GAGTAGAGGACTGTGGCCCATGGCTCGGCAACCAAGTGCATGCCTCTTGTTAGTAGCACGTATCTGGTAGAGACCGAGTAGATATAGCTGGACTTCTCTTTCATCTCCTGCCCAACACTCCTGATGGTGGTGACAAAGAGTGTGGAGAACGAGTGCCAGAGTTGCAGGCAGTATCAGATCTTTGTCACTACCAGATGTGTAGAGTAGAGAAATATGGCCCATGGAGCGGCAACCTAGTGCATGCCTCTTGTTAGTAGCACGTATCTGGTAGAGACTGAGTAGATACAGCTGGATTTCTCTTGCATCTCCTGCCCAACACTCCTGATGGTGGTGACAAAGAGTGTGAGGAACGAGTGCCGATTCAGTACCAGATCTGTGTCACTACCAGATGTGTTCAGTAGAGGACTGTGGCCCATGGAGCAGCAACCAAGTGCAGGAACATCAAACTACTGAAGTAGATGACAGGAACCAGGTTGAGGTACCCTCAGGGTACCAACACCAAAGCTTGCGTATGCACAAGCGCACCTACATGCTACTGATTTCCTTATACTAGAGTGAACCTGACCTTCCTTACAGTCAGGCTAGTTACTAGTACAAAGTATCACACTAAAGAATCAATGACAGCTCCTGCTGTTCTCATGAAAATCAGCATTCTCAGGAGCCTAAAAATTAACTATAAAAGACAATAGTTCCCCTTTAATGAAGTAACTTCTGCAGCACTTGAATTTCAATAACTTCTGTACTGAACAAGAAGCTTTTCATTTTTACTTTTCATTGAGTTACATGCCTCTTGTCAGGCTGGTTAATAGCACTGAAGGAGCAATGACAGCTCCTGCCGTTCTCATGAAAAAAGTGGATTTTCAAGAGCCTCTGTTGGAAAAATTACTGTTTTCAAAGTTCATAAAATGTAACTTCCCTTGAGCTCAGTTAAAGAGTGACAGGAGGGGGCTTATTTTGACTCTTGAAGAACCTTTATACAGCCATTGAGCACAATGACTCCAAATCTGAGTGGGCATGGAGCTACAGAGGGGTAATCGCTGTGCTACTTGTCTGCGCGATTATTCTTTGCCTTTTCCTGCTTATTCTTAACCACTTCCCGTCCGCCCTGTAGCAGTAATACTACTACGGGGCGACACGGGTGCGCAAAATCATATTATCTATTTATTTTCACGTATATATATATATATATATGTGTGATTTTGCATTTCTCGGTAGGGGGCACGAGCGAGTTGCGCCCTACCCGCACCGCTATTCACGGCATCAGCTGTCAACCACAGGCGATAAAATACCACCGAAAGAAAGCTCTATTCATGGGAAAAAAGGACATAAATTTAATTTTGGTGCAGGGTTGCATGACCGCGCAATTGTCAGTTAAAGTGATGCAGCGCCATAGAGCAAAATAATACCACATTATCTTACATAGCTGTGCGCACGCCCTACCCACGCCACTATTTGCGGCCTCAGCTGTCAATCACAGGCAATCAAATACCACCAAAAGAAAGCTCTATTCATGGGAAAAAAAGGACGTAAATGTAATTTGGGTACAGTGTTGCATGACTGCACAATTGTCAGTTAAAGTAACACAGCGCCATAGAGCAAAAAGATAACACATTATCTTACATAGCTGTGCGCACGCCCTACCCGCACCGCTATTCGCGGCCTCGGCTGTCAATCACAGGCGATAAAATACCACCGAAAGAAAGCTCTATTCATGGGAAAAAAGGACGTAAATTTCATTTGGGTACAGTGTTGCATGACCGCGCAATTGTCAGTTAAAGTAACGCAGCGCTATAGAGCAAAAAATAATACCGCATTATCTTACATAGCTGTGCGCACGCCCCCACCTGCGCCGCTATTCGCGGCCTCGGCTGTCAATTACAGGCGATCAAATGACACCGAAAGAAAGCTCTATCCATGGGAAAAATGGATGTAAATTTAATTTGGGTGCAGTGTTGCATGATCGCACAATTGTCAGTTAAAGTACTGCAGCGCCATAGAGCAAAAAAAACTGCATTATCGTGCATAGCTGTGTGCGCGCCCTACCCTCGCCGCTATGTGCTGGTGATTACTCGCCGGCACCCGGTGAACGAGGAGCGTTACCAACAGAGGGAGAGAACTGTAAGTAAACAATGCAATTCTCTCCCGTCAGCTCCTGCACACTGCTTTGTATGGCTGTGCATAGCAGAGCCATGCAAAGCAGTGTGCTTACAGTGAAACACAAACACACAGCACACTGTTAACCCTTTGATCGCCCCACATGGTAGCCCCTTCTTCCCAGTGCCATTATAAAAAAAAAAAAAAACGCACAGGCGATCAAATACCACCGAATGAAAGCTCAATTAGTGGGAAAAAAAGGACATAAATTTAATTTGGGCGCAGCGTTGCATGGCTGCGAAATTGTCAGTTACAAAAACACAGTGCCGTATTGCAGAAAATGCCTGGTTGGGGGGGGATCCTCAGCAGGGCAAGTGGTTAATTAAGTAACCTCCACGCAGCACTTGATTTTTTTCTGTTTTCAAAGTTCGTAAAATGTAACGTTCCTTGAGCACAATGAGTGATGGGGGGGGCTTATTTTGGCTCATGGAGAACTTTATACAGTTACTGAGCACAATGAGTGATTGGGGGGGGGGGGGGGTATTTTGGCTCATGGAGAACTTTATACAGCCACTGAGCGCAATGAGTGATGGGGGGGTCTTATTTTGGCTCATGTAGAACTGTATACAGTTACTGAGCACAATGAGTGATTTGGGGGGGGGCTTATTTTGACTCGTGAAGAACTTTATAGTTACTGAGCACAATGAGTGATTGGGGGGGGGGGGGGCTTATTTTGGCTCATGGAGAACTTTATACAGTTACTGAGCACAATGAGTGATGGGGGGGGGGGGGTATTTTGGCTCATGGAGAACTTTATACAGTCACTGAGCGCAATGAGTGATGGGGGGGGGGTATTTTGGCTCTTGGAGAACTTATTTATACAGTCACTGAGCACAATGAGTGATGGGGGGGGGGTATTTTGGCTCTTGGAGAACTTTATACAGTCACTGAGCACAATGAGTGATGGGGGGGGGGGTATTTTGGCTCTTGGAGAACTTTATACAGTCACTGAGCACAATGAGTGATGGGGGGTATTTTGGCTCATGGAGAACTTTATACAGTCACTGAGCACAATGAGTGATGGGGGGGGGGGTATTTTGGCTCTTGGAGAACTTTATACAGTCACTGAGCGCAATGACTTGAAATCTGAGCTACAGAGGGGGAGTCGTTGTGTTACTTGCCTGCGACAATCTTACTTCGCCTCGTCCTACTTCCCCGCCCACAGAACACAATGATAGCCGCTGGTGGCTATAGCCGCAGGCAGTAATCACATGCAAAAAAATCTGGCCGACTTTACTACAACCAGCCTGCCCGCAGCTAGATCAAATCCCAGCCATTCTTGTTAAAGTAACGCAAAAAACCCGCATTCTCTCACATAGCTGTGCGCGCGCCCTACCCACACCGCTCTTCACGGCCTTGGTTGCCAACCACTGGGTCACGGCCGGTGATTGCTCGCTGACAGAGGGAGAGAACTGTAAGTATACAATACAGATCTCTCCCCTGTCTCTTTGTATGGTAGGGAAGAGCAGGGGCGGACTGACCATTTGGAAACTCGGGCACTGCCTGAGGGCCCGGGGTCAGTAGGGGGCCCCATGAGATGCCCCGGGTACCTTTTTCATAGGCTTTTTTGAGTTTGGCCAAGGACACAGGGGCCCCCATGATCCCCTATTGCCCGGGGGCCCCATGACTTGTCAGTCCACCCCTGGGGAAGGGTTAAGGCGATGTCTTTACCATGGAAATCTAAAATTGCCTATGAAGGTCAATAGTTCGTAAATTAAGTAACTTCCACAGCACTTGATTTTTTTTTTCCCCAATGGAAAATTGCCTGTTTTCAAAGTTTCATCAAAATGTAACTTCCCTGGAGCACGGTTCAAGTGTGGGCTTATATGGACTCATGGAGGACCTTGCACAGTCCCTGAGCACCATGACTGGGGTGGACATGGAGCTACAGAGGGCTGAGTGCTGTGTTACCGGTCTACACCGACTTTACTTGGCCTCTTCCCACTTGTCACTAATAATAAAGGATGATATTATCATGATCTCCCATGACACCGTACAAAGGAAGACATAAAAAAACTATCACAAAGCACAAAAATAAATAACAGCCAGGATTGAGAGCCTGCAGACGCACAAAGTATTGGGGAGAAAATGTGGTGACATGTCTACTCCTTTACATTGGTTGTTATGCCGGGAACATGTTCACACAGACAGCAGATTGCAGGTAAGAGAGGAATCAGCTAATCTCTTTACTACGTATTTATAAAAAATATCTCCAGAATTTATTATCATTATTATTATACAGGATTTCTATAGCGCCAACAGTTCTGCTTTACTGCAGGTTCACACCTGAGCGTTTTCCACAGCGTTTTATAGAAATGCACTACAGTCCATTTAACATGATTTCCTATGGGACAGGTCCACACCTGAGCGTTTTCCACAGCGTTGTATAGAAATGCACTACAGTCCATTTAACCACTTGCCGTCCTGCCCATGTATATAAATGGCGGGACGGTGGCGGTCCAGGGGCGGGCTGCCGTTCATAAATGGCGCCTGCATTTTCAAGCTGTGCGCGCTCCCTGGGAGCGCGCAGCACTGCGATCCGGTGCCCGCTGTGTCCTCTGGACACAGTGGAACACTGGTCGTCGTACGGGACCTCTGTGTGAGCATTACAGGAGCGGGTGGCCGTTTATAAACGTCCTCCCCATTTCCCTGCCTGTGCGCTCCCTAGGAGTGCGTGGCACCACAATCTGGACGCTATAGGGGACCTCTGTGTGAGGTCTCGATCATGTGATCACTGATTGCTCAATCAGTGATCACATGAATAGTAGTAAGCTGACCATTGGGGAACTTGGGCACTTCCCAAGGGCCCGGGGTCAGTAGGGGGCTCCATGAGATGCCCCTAGTACCTTTCATAGGCTTTTTTGGGTGTGGTTTGAGTGTGGGTGAGAACACAGGGGCCCCATGATCCCCTATTGCCCGGGGGCCCCATGAGTTGTCAGTCCGCCTCTGGTAGTAAGCAAGATGTCACTTGTGACACTGCAGAAAAGCATGTATTATGTTTTCGCTGCATTTTTGCTCTGTTTTTGATGCATTTTGCATTTTAAATCTGCCTAGCAACAAGAAAAATTAAAAAAAAAAAAAAAAAAGTAAAATGCATGAAAAATGCATCAGAACGCAAGTGCAAAAACGCAATGCAGAAATGGCTCAAACGCAACCTGCATAGGTGTGAACTTACCCTTAGGGCTGGTTCACACTATAAAAATGCAGTCCAGATGCGTTTCCGCAGGCACATTTTTAATACTTTCCGGTGTGTTTTTGACGCATTTCGGTGCATTTTTTATGCGTTCCAGTTCATTTGTTCCTCTATTTTTCTTCAATTTTAAACGGAAATGTGCATTTTGGTGCATTTTTTATGTGTTTTAACGCATTCCAGTACAATTCTTTGCAGGAAAAATGCTGCCTGTTCTACTTTTTTTCCTGCATCCAGAACGCACTGGAACTGCAAGCACTGATGGGAACTATGAACTGACAACCATATCACCTACTTTCTGTGCGTTTTGTATGCAGAAAAAAAAAACAACTGAAATGCATGTAGTGTGAACTGGCTGGCATAGGTTCACACCTATGCAGTTTGCGTTTGATTTGTTTTTGCACATGCATTTTTGACACGTCCATGATGCATTTTTAATGCGCATTCCCTTTTTTTTTACTTGTTGCTGGGCAGATTAAAACGCATCAAAAATGTGTAAAAAATGCATTTAGGGCTAGTTCACACTAGATGCAGTTTAGTGTGCTTTTATTCTGCAAAAAAAATGCATGCACAGTGTTTGCCATGTATTCCAATGGCCCTGGTTCACACCAGTGCAGTCAGTTCCAGTCAGTTTCTGGTATAGAAAAAAAAAGTAGAAGGGCAAGTTCATACTACACGCGTTTCAGTTGCTTTTTTTCTGCATCCAAAACGCACAGAAAGTAGGCTATATGGTTGTCAATGTCATAGTTCACATCAGTGCTTGCAGTTCCAGTGCGTTCCGGCTGCAGAAAGCAAAAGTAGAACAGGCTGCATTTTTTCTGCACAGAACTGTACTGGAACGTGGTAAAATGCATAAAAAATGCACCAAAAACGCACTGGAACGCACATGTCCCTATTCAAATTGAAGAAAAAGAGTGGGGGAAAAATTAACTGGAATGCATAAATAATGGACTGTATTGCGTAAAAAATGCATAAAAAGCGCACCAGAATGCATCAAGAACGCATCCGGGACACATCTGGACTGCGTTTCTATAGTGTGAACTGGCCCTAAGCTCTAGTTCACACTGCAGTTCAGCGCACTTTTTTTCTGCATCAAAATGCATGCACGGTGTTTCCAATGTATTCCATGGCCCTGGTTCACACCAGTAGTCAGTTTCCGATGCAGAAAAAAAAGCAGAACATGCTGCATTTTTTCTGCACAGAACCATACTGGAACATGGCAAACTGCCTCAAAACTGCACCGGAACTGCGCGTGGTATGAACTGCAAGCAAAAACGTATCCGGAGTGCATTTTTGTAGCGTGAACGTGCTTTTCTGCAGAGTCTCCACTGAAGTCTACTGAACCAAAAGCGCAACGTTTGACGTTTAAAAAAGTCCCTGACCCTTTCCAAAAAAAACGCACCGGGTGAAAAAGCTGAGATGTAAACCTGTCCCATAGGAAATCATGTTAAATGGACTGTACTGCGTTTCTGCAAAATTCTGGTGTGAACAGAGACGTGGGTAAATTCCACAGCACTTAAATTTTCTTTGTTGAAAAAGTGATTGTTTTCAAAGTCGGTAAAAGCAAACTTTCCTTGAGCACAGTATTGGAGTGACTAGAGTTCGGTCTTTATGGAGACCCTTACGCAGTCACTGCACTCTATGACTTGAGATCTGAGTGGGCGTGGAGCTATGGAGCAGTAATTGCTGTGTTACGGCAATCTAACTCTGCCTCTTCTTACTTATTATTGCTAGAGAAGTATATAGTATCATTATCTCCAATGGCACTGTACAAAATATATAATAACACATACAAAAAAAATTGCTTAAATAATAAAAACATATATAACTAGAAAAGCTACATTTTCTGGGGAAATTGTGTGAAGTGTTCTTGCGTCCACCAGTAGTCTACAACTGGAGTGGGCGGAATAACTGGGTGGAGTGGCTTGTCACTCTGCTGCCTGCTCACACACCTGGGTTCCTATGGCAACTCACTCTACAGCAAGGGCAGAGAAGATTGGTTAAAAACAAACTGCTCCAACTTGCTCACTTCACTGGCGGTTGCCATCTTCAAACGGTTGTAGTTGAAAAATGTAGAGCTTTATATTGTGAGAATCACAAGACCCAGACCTACATTTTGTTGCATAGTATGTCTCTGAAATATTAAAAATGAAGGCACAGTCGCAGTTTAGAAATTGCCCTTCAAATTTGAGGTGGCTAGAGTGGAGTTTCAATGAATGTCAATGGGCGGCGTGAGTTGCAAACAAATGGTCATATTGTGAAGACTATGAGGACTAAGGCTTAGCCGTGGACATTTGTAGTGGCAGCAGGGATAGCTGAATGTTTTGATATAAGATTTGTGTAGGTGGGCTTGAAAATGAGGGAGTGATGGCAGTTTAGAAATCATGTCCGGATTTTTCAGCTCCCACTCTAGCTTTTGTCAGCTCCCACTCTAGTTTTGAACATTCCGCCATTCATTCCTATGGGACCAATTTCAACACAAAAACGCCGATATTTCGTGAGCCATTCTTTCTGCCTGAAAACTGAGAAATGTCCACTGGGGAAATTTGTCATCAGACACTGAAAACGATTCTGCGACTTTGCTCAGCAATGTGCTAACTTGGCGCTATATTTCACATTTCAGTGTTTTTTGGTTTGATTATATTATTGAATTAAATGTATTATTATTATATTATTATTATTTTTTTATGATTATTTATTAAATTATAATTTATGATTTCGTGTTTCAAGTTTTATCATACCCGGGATGTTTAACTAGACTCTTGTTTGGACAGATTTCAGTGAGTTATTCCTAAGAATTACAGCCTACAATAAAAAAAAACTACATATTTCCATGCAAAAAAATGGTACCGCTTTCAGCACCAAAAAATCGGAAAGAATCATACCGCCAAGGAGGTTAAAAAATATATATAAATAAATATGTAATAAAAAAAAAATATATATATATATATATATTTTTTTTTTTTTTTTTATTTCATATTTATTTTAAACCTTGTGCGGCTGCTGGCTCTTAATCCCAGCTGTTATATATTTATAGGGTTATATATAGGGAGAACACATAAAATTACTTAAGTAATAAAAACATATATAATAAATATGTAATAAAATATATATATATAAATATATAACAGCCGGCATTGAGAGCCGGCAGCCATATCAAGTTTTGGCTGCTGGTTCTCAATAGGGAGGACACATAGAGGGAGATTTACTAAAACTGGAGAGTGAATAATCTGGTGCAGCTCTGCACAGCATCTAATCAGCTTACAGGTATTACACCCATTGCAAAATCGCAATCACATGGCAAGTCGCACCCTATTGTCCTGCGGTTACAGCGGTCATATCGGTGCGATTCCAACTTGGTTGGAGCCGCACCGATTTCTAAAGCAGTTCATGCACTGCTTCAGGTGAAACTTGCATTGATGTCTATGTCTTGCAAGCCGCAGATATCTTGCAAGTTGCACCTCAAGTCGGAATACCATCGAACTTTGAAATTGTGCGACTTCACTGATATTGGTGTGACTGGGGTGTTATTGTCAAAGCTTAATTAACCGCTTTAGCACAGACCCATAGCAGAAATACTGCTACAGGGTGGCAGCGGTGCGCAAAATCACATACAGTATATTATATATATAAATATATACCGTATTTTCCGGCGTATAAGACGACCCCCTACTTTTCCTGTTAAAATATAGGGTTTGAGCTATACTCGCCGTATAAGACTACCCCTCTTCCAATGCACACCAAATAAAAATGAAAAAACATCAGATTTGATTTCAATATGGTGGTATGCTATTTCAGTATGGTATTCCAATGATGTGGCGCTATTCCTCCCACTGACACCAATGATGAGGCATTACTCCTCCCACTGATACCAATTATGGGGCACTATTCCCCCCACTGATACCAATGATGGGACACTATTCCTCCCACTGACACCAATGATGGGGCACTATTCCTCCCACTGACACCAATGATGGAGCACTATTCCTCCCACTGACACCAATGATGGAGCACTATTCCTCCACTGATACCAATGATCGGGCACTATTCCTCCCACTGACACCAATGATAGGGCACTATTCCCCCCACTGATACCAATGATAGGACACTATCCCTCCCACTGATACCAATGATGGACACTATTCCTCCCTGACACCAATGATAGGGCACTATTCCCCCCACTGATACCAATGATGGGACACTATTCCTCCCACTGACACCAATGATGAGGCACTACTCCTCCCACTGATACCAATGATGAGGCACTACTCCTCCCACTGACACCAATGATGGGACACTATTCCCCCCACTGACACCAATGATGGAGGCACTACTCCTCCCACTGACACCAATGATGGGCACTATTTCATCCACTGACACCAATGATGGGGCACTATTCCTCCCACTGACACCAATGATGGAGCACTATTCCTCCCACTGATACCAATGATCGGGCACTATTCCTCCCACTGACACCAATGATAGGGCACTATTCCCCCCACTGATACCAATGATAGGACACTATCCCTCCCACTGATACCAATGATGGGACACTATTCCTCCCACTGACACCAATGATAGGGCACTATTCCCCCCACTGATACCAATGATGGGACACTATTCCTCCCACTGACACCAATGATGAGGCACTACTCCTCCCACTGATACCAATGATGAGGCACTACTCCTCCCACTGACACCAATGATGGGACACTATTCCTCCCACTGACACCAATGATGAGGCACTACTCCTCCCACTGACACCAATGATGGGGCACTATTTCAT